TCTGATCTGATCTGATCTGATCTGAGTGCCGTGAGCTATTGTAAGTTTTGCAACTGCTAGCAAACTTTGTGTACCGGACTGTTTGTATGTTTATGGACTATGTTATTTGGATTATCCTTAACTGAAAAACGTTGATGACTGACTGTCTTATGCGTGTATGACTTGGACTGTTTGATGAACTCAGGTACCTCTATGTCCACGAAAGTAAAAGCCTATTGAAACTGCAATGTCTCTGTACGATGGTTTGAGTGTTCTCCAACACAACTCTTACAACGCTTCTCTGAACATACTCGCTCTCCCAACGGGGAGCTTACCTAACATTCCCAATTGGCAATTTCCGCAAGACATTGCAACTGCCATAAATATGAACCAATTGCTAAGCATCTGAATTTTGATCATGTGATCATGGGGATGCTGCAATGGCTGTAAGTGTGGGAAAATATACATAAATCACTTTTTATGAGGTGGCGCAGTGGTTAGAATGCAGTACTGCAGGCTACTTCAGCTGACTGCTAGCTGCAGTTCAGTAGTTCAGTCCTGAATGGCTCAAGGTTGAGTCAGCCTTCCATCCTTCCAAGATGGATAAAATGAGGACCCAGATTGTTGGGGGCAAGAGGCTGGCTCTGTAAACCACTTAGAGAGGGCTGTAAAGCACTGTGAAGCGGTATATAAATTTAAGTGCTATTGTACTTCCTTCCCTTCCTTGGTGGTGCAGTGAATAGAATGGAGTATTGCAGGCTAACTCTGCCCACAGCCTAGAGTCCGATCATGACCGGCTCAAGGTTGAGTCAGCCTTCCATCCTTCCAAGATGGCTAAAATGAGGACCCAGATTGTTGGGGGCAAGAGGCTGACTCTATAAACCGCTTAGACAGGGCTGTAAAAGAACTATGCAGCGGTACATAAGTGCTATTGCTCTTGCTGTTTTGTTCCTGTTGTGACTTTCAATGGTTGTAAGTTGAAGGCTATCTGTAGTTGCAAGGAGCAAACAACAGCAATCTTTAGAATAACACCGTGATCCCTTATGGTCCCTTTCTCACCTGGGAACCTTCTACTCTTCTTTTCCAGGGTCAGGAGAATTTCCCAGACTTGGCCAATGAGATGGAGAAAACTCCTTCGAGCATCAGACGCAGAACATTTTTCAGGTGGATTGTGGAGGAGGAGGAGCCTGAACAGGTTGCTTCTTGTCAAGGTAAGGCCTTCCTTGATAGATTTCTCCTTCATATCCCTGTCTCACCTCTATTTGAAATCTGGGAAGATTTTTTTTTTTTGTAATTTGCAGCCTTTTACAGTTGCCTTGTTTCACCAGAGGCAAAAGTTTGAATGGCTTATTTTTCATTAACTGTATTTATAAACCTTTCGAGGCAGTGTACAATAATCCAACAAATAGATCAAAATCCATATTAAAAACAAAAAGGGGGGGGGGGAAAGCCAAGATAAATCCCTTTCGTGTCCCCGCACAGGTGAAGGGATGACACCTGTGATCCAGTCGTGGTGGCCCCCGTATGGAAATGGAATAGAAACAGCTCACGAAGAACCACCTCAGGTATGAGAAGGACTCTTGAACAGATAAGCAAGGGATTTGAAGTCTCCACCCTCCCCATAGTTTAATGGGACCAGTTACTATTGTCCAGACCGGATTACAAGAGGCTCATCTGGGTTCGGGTGCTTGAAAACTGCAGGCAGTCGGTCATTTGTGTTCTTCGAGAGAGTCATTGAGGCCACCTGGAGGTTTATCTGTGTCATTAGGGTCGCCTTAGCAGCGCAAATGGGGGTGGAGTCTTGTCAGAACTGTACTGTGTTGTACACTGGAGATAGATGATCTACAATCAGAGGTGGGTTTCCCATAATTTTACCACTGGTTCGCCGCGTACCGAAAATGTGTGCATGCGCATGTGTGGCTTCCACATTTGCATGTGGCCTTCTGCTCATATGCTTTGCTCACCTGTGTGGCTTGCACACATGCATGCGGCTTAGAAAATGTGGGGAAAATAGAACGGCATAGTGACGGGGCGGATGGGTGGGCAGGTCCACCTGCAGGTCACCACTACCAGTTCATCTGAACCGGTCCGAACCGGCTGAATACTACCACTGTCTACAACACAGTCCTTTCATCAGTTCCAAGAAGGCTCCACACCCATTTGCACTACTTGGGTGACCCTGAGGACAGAGATAAACCTCCAGGTGGCCTCAATGACTCTTTCAAAGAATGCAAATGACCCAACTGTCTGCTAGGAGTATTGATCCCTCCATTCCTCACCATCCAGTCAAAGTTTTCAGTCTTGGGTGAGAAGTGAAATGTCTTCAAAGAAAAACCAGAAAGTCCAGTATTGAAAAAGCACTTTTGGGACAACCATGGCCTGGATGATTGGGAACCTCCATGGACTTGTTATCCTCCTGCTCTGAAAATAGGTTTTAAAAGAATTCACGTCCTTCCCTTTGGTCCTTCAGGATCTGGTGACTTTTGAAGATGTGGCAGTCTACTTCACGGATGAGGAGTGGGCCTTGCTGGATCCAGACCAACGAGCCCTCCACGTGGAAGTGATGGAGGAGAACTGTGGAAATTTGGCTTTCCTGGGTAAGTTGTGTTTCTTGAGGGCCCTTGATGGAGCAAATGGATGAGGCCAAAAGGCCTACTTCTTTTTTCAGGACTTGTTCTATTCTTTTTTTTTTTTTTTTTTTGCAGATTTTTAAAATTATTTTTTCCCTTCTACAACACCTTACAGTCATTACATCAACATTGTTATGTCATCATACCTATACATGTATGTAATATTTCGCTTCTATATTTACACACCTTTATACACAGTTCTATATATATTTATATATAATTTTTTGGCTTAATTAATGTTATTCTTGTTTTGCAGCCATTTGTACCAATTGTTCCAAATTTCATAATATTCCAACTCTTCTTTATCTTTTAATTTCAGTATTAATTTGTCCATCTCTGCACAAATGTTTAAATGGAGGTAGCTTTAAAAAAACCACCAGTGCTTTNGAAAAGAGAAAAGAAAAGGAAGGAAGGAAAGAAAAGGAAGGAAAGAAAGGATGAAAGAAAGAAGGAAAGAAAGAAAAAGAAAGCAAAAGAAGGAAGGAAAGAAAGAAAAAGAAAGAGAAAGAAAGAAGGAAAGAAACAGAAAGAAAAGGAAGGAAAGGAAAAGAGAAAAGAAAAGGAAGGAAGGAAAGAAAAGGAAGGAAAGAAAGGATGAAAGAAAGAAGGAAAGAAAGAAAAAGAAAGAGATAGAAGGAAGGAAAGAGAGAAAGGAGAAGGAAGGAAAGAAAGGATAAAAGAAAGAAGAAAGAAGGAAAGAAAGAAAAAGAAGGAGAAAGAAGGAAAGAAACAGAAGGAAAGAAAAGGAAGGAAAGAAAGGATGAAAGAAAGAAGGAAAGAAAGAAAAAGAAAGCAAAAGAAGGAAGGAAAGAAAGAAAAAGAAAGAGAAAGAAAGAAGGAAAGAAACAGAAAGAAAAGGAAGGAAAGGAAAAGAGGAAAGAAAAGGAAGGAAAGAAAAGGAAGGAAAGAAAGGATGAAAGAAAGAAGGAAAGAAAAACAGAAAGAGAAAGAAAAAGAAGGAAGGAAAGAGAGAAAGGAGAAGAAAGGAAGGAAGGAAAGAAAAAGAAAGAAAGGAAAGAAACAAAGAAAAGAAAGAAAGAGGGCTACAAGTAAACCTCAACTTACAAGTGTTCATTTAGCCACTGTTCAAAGCTGCAACAACTCTGAAAAAAGTGACACATGATCCTTTTTCACACTTATGACCTTTCCAGCATCTCCATGATCATGCAATCAAAATTCGAACCTGGCATGTATTTATGGCAGTTGAAGTATCCTGGGGTTATGTCATCACCCCCTGCGACCTTCTGACAACCGAAGTCCAATGGGGAAGACAGATTCAATGAAAAACCCAACTTAACAACTGCAGTTATTCATTTAATGTCCAGGGCAAGAAAAGTTGCAAGAAAAAAAAAAGGCCACTTAACCACTGTCTCGCTTAGTCACGGAAATTTGGAAGTCAATTGTGGTCATAAAAAAAGATCCTCCTATCGGCCAGGAGATTCAAAAGGCACAAGGTGTGTCTAAGCCAGGGGTCCTCAAACTACAGCCCGCGGGCCGGATACAGCCCACTGAACCCTTTAACCCAGCCTGCATGGGACCATGAGGCTGCCCTGCCCACATCACCCTACCTATTCACCTTCTGGAGGCCAAAAATGGGATGCTCAGAGGCCTTGGGAGTCCCCGGCCTCCTTCCCCCCCGCCTCCAGAGAGAGGGGGGAGGAAGGAGGAAGACACACACACAAACACACAGAAGTCCTTAACACACACACATCCCAACGCAGCCAAATCCCCCACCACCAGGAGCATCACAAATTAAAGTTTAAATTGTGTTTATTGTTTAATGGACTAAGTTGGCTACGCCCACCCAGTCACATGACCTCCTAGCCACGCCCACCCAGCCGGTCTGCCCACCCCCCAACAACAGTCCAAGGGACTGTGAATCGGCCTCCTGTTTAAAAAAGTTTGAGGACCCCTGCTCTAAGGAAATGTTTTCCTCGTTTGTGTCCAAAGGATACCTTAAAAACAAGGACGGCATGCTTTAGATTCCCCACCCCCACCAAAAGAGGCATAAACCGGGAAGCACCCTACCTGTAAGCTTTTAACAGCGGTGTTTTTGGGAATGGACCCGTGTCCTTGAGGGCCTTTTGAGGCCACAGCCTTGGTGGTGGACGATGAATCGTTGGCCATTCTGCTCATCAGACACAACTTCGCGTTTCGGTTGACTTTCTTGGGAGACTTGGCCTTGTCGGCCACGGAAGAGCCTGAGTTTTTGGCTTCTGCCAGCTCTCGGTTTTTGGGGGTGAAAGACACGGTTATCCTGTTGCCAAAGACGTCCTCGTTCTCCATCCGCTTCTGGGCTCGCTCGGCGCTGTCTTGACTGAGGAAACGGAGGATCGCGCCGCTGCCAGAGATGGTCAGGACTTTCCCGCCGCAATTGTCCGACAGACGCCGAAGCCTCAGGCAGACGCTTTTGCTATCTCGGTTGGTGGGCAGGTTGTAAACATATAACAGAGTATGACACGCCTGTTTCAGAGAATAATAATAATAAGTCACCGAAAATCAGATGGTCAAGATCTTGTGGGATTTNGCTCGGTGCCGAAAAGATTTGCCATCAGTGAACTAGGCTGGTAAGTACCGTATTTTTTGGAGTATAAGACGCACCAAGGTTTTGAAGAGGCAAATTAAAAAAAAAAGTAGGTAGGCAGCGGAATAGGAGGAGGCAGGAGCTCTCTGAAAGCCTCCATAAGGGTATACACGGCCATTCTGGTGAAGGGGCAGGGCTTCAGGGGGCACCCAGATTTTCAGCCCCTTTTTTGGGGAAAAAAGGTGCGTCTTATACTCCGAAAAAAACGGTACCTTGTTTTCCCCAAAATAAGACCCCCCCCGGATAATAAGCCCAATTGGGCTTTTGAGCCCATGCGCTAAAACAAGCCATCCCTGGAAAATAAACCCTCCCCGAAAATATTGCCACACAGCAGCAGCCATGAGGTGACCCCGCTCGCCGCCTCCTGCACCTGCACTCAAAAATAATAAGACCTCCCCGAAAATAAGACCAAGCGCTTATTTCGGGGGTCAAAAGAAAATCAGACCCCATCGAATATATGCTACAGATCATATTATAGGTGTTGTCATTTTACCTAATCATTGCCAGGCATTTGCTGGCAGCTCCAGTGGCTAAAGAGACCTGGATCCGCTTGTTACCAATTTTGTATTTGTGCAAGCTGTTGACCGCAGTGATGGCCTCTTGGAGGTTCTCCATCAGAACCACAGCCTTCAACTGATAGTCGGTGTGAGGACTAAGTTCTACATTCTTTACCTGATTTAAAAAAAAAAAAGAGGCAAAAATTGTATCAAAACGTTGACTCAAGGTTGGACTTCGGCTTCCATCCTTCCAAGGTGGGTAAAATTAGGATCCAAAATAATTGGGGGCCAATCTATAAACTGCTTAGAGAAAACTGTAAAAGCACTATAAAGCAATATATAAATCTGCTATTTCCATTGGTATTGCCTTCCTTCCTCCCTCCCTCCCTCCACAGAGATTAGAATGCAGTACTGCAGGTTACCAGCAATTCGATNTTTTGCAGTATCCTTCCCCTGGAGTGGGGAGGGAATGGGGTTTTTGCAGTATCCTTCCCCGATCACGCCCACCAATCCACGCCTCGGCTACAGAATTGGTAGTAAAAAAAAATGAATCCCACCACTGTTTATAACTATCTCCAATATAGCCCACAGGTTAAACGTTTGAGTCTGAATAAAGACTCCAGATTGCAGAGAAGGGGGGTGGTGAGGCAAATTTACCTGAATTCTTTATTCACGCAATGCCGTTTGCAGACAGGCTCATGATACTCCAGTTCTTCGAAGATGACAGGGCTGCAGTTAGCAGAGGAGCCGTCGTGAGACTGGGAAGATCCCAACGGGCTCTGCCTCGCTTGGCTGCTGGGTAAGAGGCACACCAGGCGACTGTTGCCTTGATCGCGGATCGCTACGATGTCCGTTAACTTGTGCAAGTCCGACGCATTCAGCTTGTGTCCGAACCTAGAAACCCAGAAACAGAAACTGCTTAGTGGAGTGGAAAAAAAATAAATAAAGAGCCAAAGAAGGTATTTGTAGCTATTACAGAGATCGCAGAATACAGGTACCCCGTTTCCCCAAAAATAAGACCTTCCCGGATAATAAGCCCAATCGGGCTTTTGAGTGCATGCGCTAAAATAAGCCCTCCCCTAAAATATTTAATCACATGCGCTGCTGGTCCCTACCATTTCTTGGGGGGAAAGTGGGGGGGACATGCCGCAAGCGCCCACATGCACCTATCATCCATGCGGAACAGCCTCGCGGAAGCCGCTCCTGCAAACCCTAGCCCCCGCGCCCCTTCTTTTAGTGGTGGCCATAAAAAGAGCAGCAGGCGCAGTAACACTAGGGCTGGCAAGAGTGTGCCAGAAACAGAGACAGAACCTCCGGCCCTCTCTGGGTCAGCTGATCCATGGGCTGAGGTTAAAGGGCCTCCTGCACCGCAAAAATATTAAGACCTCCCCGAAAAGAAGGCCAAGCGCTTATTTGGGGGGGGGGGTCAAAAGACAATAAGACCCTGCCTTATTTTCAGGGAAACAAGGTAGTCCTCGACTTATGGCTAACAATGGAGCCCAAACATTTCTGTTAAGTGAGATATTTGTTAAGTGAGCTTCGCCCAAATTTATGACTTTTCTTGCCATCAGTTAAGTGAATCACTGCAGTTGAGAAGTTAGTAACTCGGTTCTTAAATGAATCTGGCTTCCCCTTGGGACTTTGCTTGTCAGGAGGTGGCAGAAGGAAAATCATGTGACCCCAGGACACAGCAACCGTCTTAAGTATGAGTCAGCTGCCAAGCAACAGAATTCTGATCATGTAAGTGTGATAAACGGTCATAAGTCACTTTTTTTAGCACTGTTTTAGCTTTGAACATCCACTAAACAGACTGTATTTAAGTGTCAGCATTACAAATATCATCAAAGATTAAATCAGAGTCCAAGGCAGAAATATCCTCAAACTTCCAATTTATTAAGAGAGACATGTTGGCACATCTGTGGAAAACCCGAATCTGAAAACTTCCTGGGATTCCCACCCAGTTGAAAGTTCATGATCTTGCCCCCCACACCCACAAGTCCATCCCATGGTCCAATCTTCCACTGCCACGCTAGCATTTCCACCCATCTAGTTCCGGTCAGGTGCAGAGGTGCGGAGACAAAGGAGGAACTTAAGCTTCTAGAAAGGAATGTTTTATTATGACAACAACTCCTAGTCTCCTGGTGATTGGGCCAAATTCATCAAGCCACCTTTCATGCCTAAAGTGGGACTAGAACTCTCGGTTTCCTGGTCTGTATTTGTGTCAGAAGCATTGCGCCAAAGTCATCCTCACCCAGTTGGCTTTTGTGCCTAACACAGGACTAGAACTTCCATTCTCTTATGGTAGTGATTGGCCCAAATTCACCCAGCTGTCTTTCATGCCTAAAGTGACTCTAGAACTCCCGGTCTCCTGGTGATTGGCCGAAATTCACCCAGCTGTCTTTCATGCCTAAGGTGGGACTAGAACTCCTGGTCTCCTGGTGATTGGCCCAAATTCACCCAGCTGTCTTTCATGCCTAAGGTGGGTCTAGAACTCCCGGTCTCCTGGTGATTGGCCGAAATTCACCCAGCTGTCTTTCATGCCTAAGGTGGGACTAGAACTCCTGGTCTCCTGGTGATTGGCCCAAATTCACCCAGCTGTCTTTCATGCCTAAGGTGGGACTAGAACTCCCGGTCTCCTGGTGATTGGCCCAAATTCACCCAGCTGTCTTTCATGCCTAAA